TCTTGCTTTCAATTTACCATGATGATTTGAGTCCGTGGTCTTTCTCCTCCCATCCTTGGTGTTAATAGGAGGAGGAGGAGGCTGGGTTATTTAAGAACGATAGCTGGGGCATATGCCTGGGAGGAAATCTGTAAGTAGCACTCACTCCTCTGTGGTTTTTGCTTTATGTACCGGCGATGGCTTCCTTTGATGACGGACTCTAACCTTTAAGATGAAACAGCCTGTTTCCTCCCCAGGTTGCTTTTGATCATGTTTATCACAGCAACACAGAAACCAAACTAGGACAGTGTTCATGTTTGCCAGTGTGGTTGTGCAAGTGACAGGAAATACACTGTCCCCAAGGTCAGGGACAACCTTGGATGCCTTGGTCCTTGCCCTCCACCAGGCTAGCTGGTCTGGGTGGTTCTAGGGATTGTATCTCTACCTCCTGTCTTGTACAGGCACCTGAGATTATAGGTACACATGATGGCATCTAGGTTTATGTGGTCTCCGGAGAAGAACTCAAGTCCCCACATTTGTGCAGCAAGCACTTTGCCCATTGAGCCATTTCTCCAGCCCTGCATCTGTTTCATAAACATTATTCTGCCAAGAATGTGTGTGAGTCATTGTCTAATGGCTCTTGTCACTTCATAGTGGTGATGGAGGAGAAAAACCAGACGTGTTTTATGTGGAGACACAGATAAGATATGAAGGCATTTCAAAATCCAAAGTGCATCGTTGTCTTGGGTATAATACCGACCTATCAATAATCCAGTTAGGGCAGTTTACTCCGAGCTACGTGAGAGGGTTCAGTTCGCCAATCTTCATTCAAGTTCACACTCACGCTGTTTAAATGTGGGTTTCATGCTGTATCACACACACCAAAGCATTATAGATTTTTCCCCCCCAAATGCAATACACAAGTCTAAATTGATTGCAGCCAAACATAAATTTAGTCAAATCTTTAATGCACTCCATTAAACCATGAATAATACTTTAAAGCATGTGTTAGCTGTAGAGTAGCTAGTACTGGAGTTGAACCAATTTCAAACAGCCAAAAGAGAAAGTTTCCTCCGGACATGGTAGGTGTGCTATTTATACTCAACAGTGGATTGGGGAAAAGCAAAACTTATTGTTTTTTCTTTTTCAAATGTAACAATGAACAATTACCTGTCATTGTGAATGACTAATTTTTCACAGAGGGACTGGGTGGCTTCCTGTCCTAGAAAGGTTAACTTAGCTCTCATACTGCCTGTGGGCCCATGCCTGGATTGCCGCTGGTGGCACCTTGTAGACCTAGAACTCCATTTTTTCCTAGAACAAAATTATCTTTCTAAACACAGAGTGGCAGTGATTTCTCTCACCTCCAGTTGAGGTGGGGGAAGGGTATGCCAACAGCTCACTCCGCCAGGCAGTTGGCATGATTTGTGTGTTCCCGAGAGTCAGAGTTTGGGATGGGGCATGTAGGATACATATTTGTACTTTCAGAACAGTGTAGGCTTTGAATAATTTGGTCATCACTTTTACAGAATGGTTTCTAGTGAGAGGCTGGCAAAGCAGTCAGGACGTCAGGATACACATTCAGAAATCCAATTCGGATTCAGCAGAGCTTGGAAATGTTGCAAATGCAGGATGCTTAGTAGATTTCTGGGTGCTGACTATGTACGTGTCTGGGAAAGGGACAATTGGAGAGTTAGTACGGAGCAGGAGTGAATGAAGAATTAAAAAAATAAACTCTCCGATAATTTTCATAATGATTGCATATTTCATCTGCATAAGAAATCCAGCTATATGTGTGTGGAGTTAGGTAGCATTATAAATATTGTTGTCCCCTTCTTTTTTAAGATTTGAACGTGATTGAAAATGTTTAAATTAAATGTATGGCTTCTGTTATTTCAGTGAATTGAATGACATTATACATGGGTCATAGCTGATGACTACTTTCTTACCTGTCTTTCTTTTTTCCATCCATTTTCACGTCTGCTGCTTTGTGCATGTCTGCATATGTATGTTGGCACCTGTATGCTGGCGTATATGTGCACACATGGAGGCCTAAAGTTGATGTCAAGTTGTTTATCCTTGTTAATTAACTCTTCTGCCTTACTCACCTAGGCAAGGCGTCTCAGTCATATCCAGAGCTCAGCCATCTGACTACTCTTACTAGCCATGTTGTTGCTCTGGGAGCCCCTAGTCTCCACATTCCAGGGCTGGTATTAAAGGTAGGCTTATTGTGTCCACCCAGCATTCACATGGGTACCAGAGACCTCTTGGAAGGCAAATGCTTTAACAGCTAAGCCATCTATGTAGCCATCTTGCCTGTGTTTTCTCTATCAAACTGAAAATTAGAGAAGTTGACAGTATTGCTTGCATCTTGAGAGGAAAAGGGATCTTGCATCACAGATTTGGGAGATGGGCAGGTTTCTCATTTGCTAAATGAAGATCCTAATTGCTTTGACCTCTGTGGGTTGTCAGGAGAAGAGAAACCCATGTGGGGATTAAGTGCCCAGCAGTTTTCCAGCTCCTGGTTCTGTGTCTGGGCCTGATAGAACCCACCCATGTCTATTCATACTCTTTGCTCCTCTCCTTCCAAGTCTAAACTCACTGTCCTACCAACCTACTTTTACAGCCAGGAAGCTTAGCTGCCTTGTCAATCCCTTATCATTGAGGACTTCTGATCTTTTTTCTTTTTTTCCCATTTGCTGGCTGCTCACTCAAATGGATCCACCTGCCATTCGCTTTCTCATTTCAATTTCAGAGCCAGGATTTCATCGTGGCTGAAACTACAAAGCAAGCTCTGGATCATAGTCTGGTCCATCCCTTTTCTTCTACCTGGACACGGGGTTCCTTCCCCCTCCTCTTGCTCTTCTTCTTTCTTCCCTTCTGTCTTTTTCTTAAAACTAAAATCTCCTTCATTTGATGGGATGATTAATGCAGGATGACTGGGGCCAAGCAAGTATGTGCAGGAAGCTAATGGAAGGCTGTGTAAGCAGGCGATGAAGACAGCAGAAGGCGATGTTGCTGAAGGAAATTCAGGGTGCTTCTCTTCCTCCCCAACATCTCTCCTTTCTTCCCAACCTGCCTTCTCTCATCACTTTGCTGATTGGCTCCCAAAGCTATGCCATATTCAGCCTGTGGGAGGTACAAAGAGTGGTCAGCTTTCTAGTTTTCAGAGAGTCACCTCCCACATTATTACATAGCATGCACAGAAAGCTATGCACTGATTTCCATAGTCTAACAAATACGTCCTCAGATGTTCTGCAAAATTCAGTGATGGGGGAGAAAAAAAAAGACGTGAAGCGCTGTGAAAATCTGTAGCTTCCCATGTTCTCCTTCATAATCAATACTGAACCAGTCACTCAGAGCTATAAAACTTCAGAACAAATCCGACATGCGGCTGGGAGCCCCTCAAAATCCCAGTTTCCTGTGCAGGTGTTGTTTCTATAGATCAGAAAGCTTCTATTCTCGTTGTTTTTATCCAGCAATGGTAACGAGGTGATTTGGAATCTGCTCGTGGCTTCAGATAGCATTTATTTATTTATTTTGCCTTTTCATCAGATCAATATGTTGTACTGCCTATTTTATTCTTAGGTTTACTGACTGTTCTTGGGAAAGCAAATTCAAAGGGAAGAAACAAGCAGATTGGTTTTTATCTCAAAGCCCTGGCTGAGGCTTGACAGAAGGAATCCTTGGAAATTCACAAGGAGCAAAATTTCCCAGGCCCTCCCTGCTGACAGATGCCTTTGTTTGGAGGGTCTGTCTTTAGGGGCCAGCTGAGTCCTGTAGTATCAATCAAGGGCTCCTCCTCCACCAGTCAAAGGACACACTGGCTAACCCTGGGCTCATGTTTGCTTGCCCTGGACCATTAACTGATAAAGGATTTACCACCTACTCTAGACAAAGAACAGTGACTACTGATAGTCACTTATCTGTTGTTTCCTATGGAGAAGTCAGAGTGGGAAGTAGTACTTGTAAAATGCATTTATATATTTATGTTTAATTTTGTACATGTGGGGAGAGGTGTGCACAGGACTGCAGGTCCTGAGGTGGCCAGATGGAATCAGACTCCCCCAGCAGCTGGAGTGACGGGCCATCGCCATCTGCCTGATGCGGGCACTGGGAACAGAACTTAGGTCTTAACTGCTGAACCATCTCTTCAGTCCCATCCAAATCTTGCTTTAAGATATCAGCACCTTTGTTCTGTGTGCTCAGCTTCGTGAGAAAAGAGAAAGCCCTGAAGATTCCCAGGCTTACTTTTCTCATTTTGTCCATGAAGTCTCACCATCTTGTGATCCCAGGTGTTTGTCAGAGTACAGGAGGGTCTGTGATCGCATAAGCCGGAATGAAAGCATGCTGAATCCAAACAAGTGTCTGGAAGCTAGTGGGCTGGGTGGAACCTCCCTCTTCCATAGGACCTGATCATTTCTGGCCACACTGCTATAAAAGTAGAGGGTGTGCTCCTGTCTGCACACAAAATGAGTTTCAAATATTGGGGTGTTTTCCCATGTGAAGGTAGAAGGGATGTTGCTTCCGGAAAAAAAAAAAAATTTAAAAGCAGCAACGATGCTGAACTAGTTAGAAGCATCATAGTTAGAGGTGTGTATGTGTATGTAGATGAAATATATACACACATATACATGTACACACACACACACACACACACACATATGGTTTCAGATTATCAGAACTATAGAAGAGGTTGTGATCATGTAAGTCAGAATATAAGTGTGGGGTGTTCAAATAAGTGTCCAGATAGCCAGTGCCTCATGCACAAGGAGGGGACACTGTTACTTCTTTATAATAACTTGTCCCTGATTTTGCTTCTCCTGAAATTGGATGCAAAATCATTGTCAGAAAAGAAATATATTTGTTTAACCAAAGAGAAACAACTTCCATTTGACTTAAAAAAAAAAAAAAAATCATTGTGTCTTCTTAGTGTAGTCATTGTTTACAAAACAAATACCATTTCATCTAGTATGGCTACAGCTTATGAGTCCATCTAGAAACAAATAGACAAAACCATATTTATGGCCAACATGAGATATTTTCTGGGTACACGCACAACAGTAAAAACATTTTGAAAATTAACAGGCATCCACAGGTATAAATACACTGTCAAAGCATTTAGCGCTCTTTAACATAGCCAAGTCCCCTGAGCTTGAAGCAGCATTAAATTCTCCTTTGCCAGTGGCAAAAAGAAGCCGTCAAGCACAGCATTGAAAAATTGGTACCGTTTCCTGGCCAGTAAGCAACAGAACGAAGGGCTGAATATTTTATGGGTTTTTATTTATTTATTTTTGTTCTCATGCTGTTGTTTTTCTCCCCCATCTTTCTCTCTCTCTCTCTCTCTCTCTCTCTCTCTCTCCTTTTCTTCCCTGCCCAGGACTGATTGTGGTGACGCTGGCCGTGTGTTGGATGCCAAATCAGGTTCGGCGGATCATGGCTGCAGCAAAACCCAAGCATGACTGGACCAAGTCGTACTTCAAGGCATACATGATCCTTCTACCCTTCTCTGACACCTTCTTCTACCTCAGCTCTGTGGTCAACCCTCTCCTCTACAACGTGTCCTCTCAGCAGTTCCGGAAAGTATTCTGGCAGGTTCTGTGCTGCCGACTGACTCTGCAACACGCCAACCACGAGAAACGCCTGCGTGCCCGGTTCAGCTCCACCAAGGACAGCACCCGCTCCATCCGCAGCCCCCTCATCTTCCTAGCCTCCAGGCGGAACTTTTCCTCCAGGAGAACTAACAAGGTTTTCTTAAGCACTTTTCAGGCTGAGTCCAGGCCAGGAGAAGCTAAGCCCCAGTCCTTGAGTTCTGAGTCACCACAGACTGACTCAGAGACCAAACCAGCTGATTCTGCCACAGAAAATGGTTTACAGGAGCAGCAAGTGTGAATGTCAAGTTCAGAAGAAGCCTTGAGCAGAAGCTGGCTCTTCCCTCCAGCAAAAGCAAAGTTACCTTCACGCAGCAGTCCCCAAATAGACTGTGACTCCATCAGGGACAGGATGGAAGCTGGAGGCGTTGGGAAGCGCAGATGCAGACGGCAATAACTTCTAAGGGTTGATTCTTCCAGGCTGGCCTTGGTGGTGGTTACACGGACCGGGGTGGGAAGATCTGGGCTTTCTTCTCCATACTTCTGCTTCAAGCACACACAGAAAATTCAGACTGAGTTGGTTCAGAGCTTACAAAGTATTTGTGCACAGCAATCTTGCATTACTTGAAAGGAAACAAAAAGACCCCCTTGTCTACCCAGAATAAAAGGACACCCAGAAGAGGCTCAAGGAGGTGAGAGAGTGAGGGCCAGACAGATGGTGCAGCAGGGGTCGGCATCTCCGTTAGCTTCAGCAGTGTGCCAAGCAGAGGGCTAAGTTGAAGAGCAGGGCGGTGGTGAGAAGACCTGGCCTGATGGCCGACGCAGAGCTGCCCCTTTTCTTGGGCCTTGGCCCATTGCAAAGGGGAGTGTTGCAGCAGCTGATACACACGGAGTTCAGTTTCCCAGGGGAACAGAAGGACTGGTACCCAGCCGAGGCGATGAGACAGGCTGCCGAGGATGCACACGACTTCCGGTACATGATCCCTGCAACACAGGACCACAGAAGTGGGGTTAGCATGTGCGGTCTGCACGAACGTCACTTTGAGCTCAAATCTGGACACATAGCTTTTCCTAACTCCTCACAGAGAAAAGATTCTTGTCCCCTGAGCTTGTTGAAGCCCGGGAGTTCTTTTGGGTGGATTGCAGGGAGGTCACACAGAACCTAGAGTGAATGTGACGGACACTGACTGTTGACAAAATTGTTCTGACAGCTATTTTAGTTTGCTATCTCCATGAATAAAGAGTCTTTACAACCAAAGCTTCTCTGCTCTCTCTCTCTCCATCCCTCCCTCTCCCCCCCTCTCTGTTCTTCCTCCCTGCATTTGTGTGTGGGTGCAGTATCCTCAGACTCCAGAAAAGGGAACTGAAGACACGGTTGGCTGGGAACTGCCTTATGGAGGTGCTGGGAGCTAAATTCAAGACTTCTGTAAGAGCAGTGCACACTCTTAACCGGCTCTCCCACCCCTACACCCAGCTTTTCTCATATGGGTTCTGGGGATCAGACTCAGGTCCTCATGTTTGCATGGCAAGTGCTTTACTGACTGGGGCATCTTCCCAATGGCAAGGTCTGTTTTTCAATCAGCTCCCACTTTATGGTAGACAACTGTTGTTATTGTTCAAACCATGTCATGCTAGGATCACATACCACATGCTCAGATATTTGTCTCTGTGCTTACCTAGTGTAGCCTTAGAGACACGACTCCCAACCAAGAGTTCATTAAATCCTAGAATTCTCTAAATACAGAGAAAATCCCAAAGGGAGTAATCTGGTCTACCTAATGATCATGTGATTTCTTTTTTTAAGCTGAAGATTCACTACAATTGTAATACTAATGTTAACAGGAACGTGTCACTGTTGATAGATGCCCAAGCAGGCACGAAGGCCTGGGTTCCACCCCAGCACTGCATACATTGGTGGTAATGCTGTACATGTATCATGCTGGCGCTCGGTAGGCAGATGCATGGGGATTGGGAGTTCAAGTCATCCTCAGCTACACTGTGAATTTGATACCACCAGAGGGTACATAAGGCCGTGTTTCAAAGTAGTAACAATTTTAACAGCTAAGCATGCATGGGGCCTTCCTGGATGCCAGAAACTGTATAGATGGCTACCATGTGCCAGCTCACTTAGTTCCATTCCTAACGTTTAGATAAAGCCCTGTGCAGAAAAGCCTTGGCCCCCAGCATGGTGCTGCTGGAGGTGGGGTTCATGGGGGAGAGGTCTTGGGTCACAGCATGCATGTTCTTAGAGGGGACAGTAGCACTCTAGTTTCTCTGTGTCATCTGTCTGTCTGTCTTTGTGTCCCTCTTTCTCTCTCCTGGCTATTGGCTATGGGATGAGGGGGCCTACTTCTTCACATGCATCTACCATAACATGTTGTGTCACCACAGGTCTCTGACGATGGATTGACCTTCCAACCTCATGCCCACACCCCTGTCCTGTGTGTGTGTGTGTGTGTGTGTGTGTGTGTGTGTGTAACCTCAGTGTAACTTCAGATGTTGTTTCTCAGGAACCTCCCATCTTGAGTTTTGGAGACAAGGTCTCTAAATGGTTTAGAGCTCGCCAATTAGGCTGGGCTGGCTGGCCAATGAGCTCAAAGGATTAGAAGCGTGAACCACCACATATGGGTCTGTTTAAAGTGTGTACCCTGGGGATCAAATTCAGGCACTGGTGCTTGCATATTGTGCACTTTGCTGACTGAGAAATCTTTGCAGCCCCCTCAAAACTGAACCAATACGAGCCTCTCTTCTGCCTACATTGATTACTTCCAGCATTGTGCTACAGCGATGTAAAGCTGACTTGCATGGCTGAAAGTACTAGGAGGAAGGGCCCTGTGACGTTCCCTACTGCACAGATCCAGAGCCTGCAGCTGCTTACTGAGCCTTAGACACTTGTCCAGGTGCCATCATCAGACTCTCATGTCAGCTGCAATAGGATGTATTATGGTAGCAAGTGTAGTAGTTGGAATGAGAAATGCCCTCCTTAGGCTCATGTGTTTGAACACTTAGTCTCACATACCAGCCCTGTTTGGAAAGGTTATGGAACCTTCGGAAGGTGGAGGTCAGAGCAAGGGGATCCTTGGGGGATCAGCCTTGAGGTCTGATAGTCGGGTCCCACTTCTTGTCTTCACGCTGCTTCCTGTGTGCAGGTGCAATCCAGCCCCAGCTGGATTATATATACTCTTGTTATCGCCATACCTTCTCCCCCACAATAGACTTCAGCTGTAACCAGCCCAGTGTCCTAGCACAGCTGTGAATGTGGCCCAACACACTTGTGGATGACCGTGTCATATCAAAATATCGCGGACACTCCTACATGTGAGCCAAAATAAACCTTTCCTTTGGCTGCTTTTTGTCGGGTATCTAGCACAGCAATGAGCATAATAACTAATTCAGTAGCAAACTAAGCATGGAGAGGGAAGAGTTTGAAAGAGTCTGTCAGCTCAGACAATGAGCTTTGGTGTGTGTGGGGGATGGGTAAGACAAAAATAATGACACGGGACTCAGAAGCAACGGTCTGAAGTCTGCATGCTGCATTTTGCAGCTGAGTGATATAACACACCCCATCAGCAGCCAGGGTCCTCTACCCAGCAATTGCCTGCAGGTGTCTGGCAAGTATGGTTTCAGTTTGCACCCCTCCATCCTCCAGGAGAACTGCCACTTTGGGTGTGTAGTATAGAAATAGGGAAGATGCAAACTGCCTGAAACTCTCAGAGGGAGGGAGAGGAGAGCTTTCAGTTTTCTTTAAAACATGTAATTTCCTGGTTTTTCTTTTTTTTTCTTTCTTCTTCTGTAAATGAATATTTGTAAGGATTGATTTTCCAGCACTGGTCAGCCATCCTGGAAGGTGACTGCTCTGGAAACACAAGGACAGTGTATGAAATGCTCATATGAAAGAGGCATTGTTTCACTTCCCAGGAATTCTCTAAAAAGTTTCCATTTCTTCTGCCTGTTAGAAAATTAAGTTTCTCAGTGTTTAGTTGTGGGTGTCTGCTTCTGTTTCCATCGGCTACTAGATGAGGGCTCTATGCTGACGGGTAAGTTAGTCGTCGATCTCATTATCAGGGAAGGGCACTTATGGTAGCTTTTTTCCACTGTTCCTCAAATTGTTAGTTGGGGTCAGTCTTGTAGGTCTCTGGACATTTCTCTAGGTTCAGTTTTCTCTTCAAACCTATAATGGCTCCCTCTTTTATGGTTTCTCTCTCTCTCTGAGCCAAACTGGAATCCAGATGCAGAGAGGGAGGACAAGACCAGGCTACAGAAACACATAGAGACAGCTGACTTGAACAAGGGGGAGCTAATGGACCCCCAGACTGATAGCTGAGAATCCAGCATGGGACTGACTCAGGCCCCCCTGAATATGGGTCTCAGCCAGAAGGATTGAGCAGTCTAAGGGACCTCAGACAGTGGAGCCAGGATGTATCCCTGGTGCACAAAAGGACTTTGGGAGCACATTCCCCATGGAGGGATACTCCCTTAGCTTAGAGACATGAGGGAGGGCCTAGTCCATACTCCAAATGACTTGAAAGATTTAGATGGCCCCTCCTGGAAGGTATCACCCTCCATGTGGAGTGGGGGTGTGGTGGGAGGGGAGGGTGGTCGGGGGCATAGGAGAGTGGGAGAGAGGGAAAGAGGGAGGGAGGGAGGGAGGCAGAGGGAACTGGGATCAATATGTAAAATAAAAATAAAAAATAAAAAAAGAAGAACAAACTCTGTTCTGGAATATGTTCTATTTCGATCAATACAACATCTTTTTAGTGGAAAAAATAAAGAAAACTAAGTTTTACACAATATATTCCTAGCTTGATTTTATTTTTATTTTATGTATTTATTTTTCTTCCCTCATGTATTGCATCCCGACTGCAGTTTCTCCTCCCTCCTTTGCTCCTAGCTCGCCTCCTCTACCTCCCTTCTTCCCAGATCCACTCCTCCTCCATTTCCCTTCAGAAAAGACTCCCAGGGACATCAACCAAACATGGCATAAACAAGTTGCAATAGCCACATATCTTCATATGAACGCTGGATGAGGCAACTCAGAAGAAGACGTTTCCCCAAAGCAGGCAAAATGAGTCAGAGACAGCCCCTGCTCCCTCTGTTCGGAGTCCCAGAAGAACACCAAGCTACTCAGCCATAACATATTTGCAGAGGACCTAGTTCAGACCTATGCAGGCTTCCTGACAGAAAGTTCAGTCTCTGTGAGCCCCTATGAGCCCCGTTTGGTTAATGCTGTGAGCTATGTTCTTGTCTCAACCTTCATTTTAAAAGTACCATCATCCACCAGTCCAGCTACTTAAAGAGAAAAGAAACTCATCATAGTTGAATTGGCAAATGATCTTGCTGTGTGCCCCCCCCCCCCAACACACACAATGAAGTTATGTCGCTTGGGCTGACAATCTTCCCAGGAAGAGCCATGGAACCTCTAACAAAACCTCAGCACCAGGCATCAGAAAACTCCTTTTGAGTTGTTGGTCAGGGACTCCAAGAGGCTTCCAAAACAGTATAGGCTATTACTGTTGCCTTTGATTGTGTCCCAGAGGCTATTGTTGAAAATGTTGAAGATACTACCTACTTCAAACACAGGACTCAAAAGAGTCTAGCCAGAGCTAGCCTGAAACTCTCCTCCCTAATGACTAGCTTTCGTAGTCGAAGAATATCCTACTCAAACTCCCTAAGGAGGAAAGAACCAATTGTGGTCCGATTCAGTAAACTCCTAGTGTGGCAGGATATTCCTAAAGGTGTAATGGTGGCACTCATATCTTGGCGGTAACCAACAGCTCTCTAGGGCTAGTAAATTCATGGATCTTAGAGGCAGCCTGTAGGTCCCTTTACTAGGACAGCATAACTCCTAACTGCATCCTTAGTATGGAGCATAATGGATAAAGCTACCTCTCACCCCTCAGCAAAGTAGCTTCTCTTTGTAGCAGACAGAAACCATTAAAAAAAAAACCACAATTGGGCTAAATACAGATAACAATTGAGCATTG